CGTGATCTTGACCTTGTCTTTTGACCTTTATTTCCATAAATTAAATGGTGTCTTTCTTTGATTATTATGTACCATTCTACTTAGAAAATACCACTGCAGTACCCAGAAGCACAAGTGAATACCAGGTAGGTTGAAATGCCAATGTGCCAGCATATTACTAGTGATACTCTCCGCAACATCACATGGAATACTCCCTCGGGAGCTGAGTATGTATGAATTGCTTTCAATAATGCGAGGCACAAGGCTGTGACATTTATAACATCATGTCTACATAAAGGCTGAATTAATATTATCAAACTATTACGATTATCATTTAGATCATTAATATTATAAAGTTATCTTAATACTGTTACAGTACGTAAAGGCCGACTTGATAATATTAATTTTTTTAAATTATTACATGATCATCAGTTACTGTAGATAATTAATATTATAAATTTATCGTATTACTCTTTATGGAAGTGATTTTATTTTAATCAAATATGGAGGTTTGGGATCCCCAAAAAAATTGTCATGTACTATAGTTTTTAGTTATTTTATATCACTTAATTTTGCCAGCTAGCCCAAGTGGCACATCTTGGGGTGCGTAGGGGTGCGCGCCCCCTGAAAAACTTGCCTCGCTAAGTTCCCCGCTCCCCCATTGAAAATGTCAGAAGCAAAAAAATCATGCTAAAATAGTTAAAAATCACCTCATACAGTAGGTACTACTGTAGGTATGCCATTGTCGCAAGTAATCGTCATTTGACAAATAACTGTAGTTTGCCTAGATATTGGGTATGATAATATCATGCTGCAGCCTATACAGACAAATCACATGCTTGTCACAGCATATTTGATTGTGTAGCCTAGAGAATTAGAGGTAACATTAATTTTACTTCAAATAAATGCCCTTGGAAACAAAAGGCAGTATTTCAACACACTACAGGTATATGTCAATTTTATAGCCAATTTTTAATTTTTTTTTCGTACTGAAAATCAGCTGAGCTACTCAATCAAATCATAACCCTAGGCATTTTTTTTCATGGAGAAATGATGATATATGATATTGGACATGAAGTACTGTACGAAGCTTTACTGTATACCTAAAATGGGCTTATATTTGAGAAACTATGGGGTGTGACCATAGTTAGATGCCATACTGACAGTATGGTATCAACAAGTTGACATTGATTCCAGACATAAGATTTTATCGTCAATGAATAATATACATTCAACATTTATATTAAAATGAAGTCATTGTCCAACAATAAGCACTTATAATGTGTCTAAACATAAGACAATGTAAACACTGGGTTTGAACTCTGCCAGCATTTCAGGTCAGTTGCTTCAAATGCCATTGTTATTTTCAACATTATTAGATACAACATTATAGTGAATTCAAACAACTCTTCAAATTGTAACCATGGATTCGGACTCTTTTTAGACAACATGCTTATCATTTTATCCCTGCAACACAATTAGTTTTCTTCTGTGCACTTGTGTAAACACCAAACATTTCATGTCATAAAATTAAATACAACCAACTATGTATACTTGCATGAATAAATGGGGGGGGAATGTATAAACTTATTAGTATACCCAAAATCGAGTAAATAAGCCTTTAAAACCCCTAAATAGATTACTTTTGAAAGATTCTGAGCTACACCTGACCATGCCAACTTTTTTCGTCAGGGAATTCTGCCTCCGTCGGGGACCTCGGACCCTCCTTCAGGCAAATCCTGGCGCCACCACTAGTTTCAAATGCATTAACATGTAATGCTTTCTCTATAAAAATACAGTATCTTGACAACAGGCCCTTATTAAGAACATTACATGTTTCATCTTGCGACTAGCAGGCAGTATCCTTGTTGTGGGTGTGAAAAACAGAAATAAAAGTAAAACAACTAGCCACCAATCAAAAATCTCAAAAATTGTACAGTTTCCCTATAATTTGTGTCAAAACCATCATCATCAAAGAAATTGGACATAATTTCATAGAGAAGCCAGTTGGCCTAGAACATTTACCTCAGTCAATGAACTATCTTAATATCACTGGAGGAAAAAACCATCTGACTGTAACAATGCTCTGAACTTGTGTACAGTAATTACAGTTATCAAATCACCAGATGGTGGACCTTTATTGTCTGAATCAGGGTGTTGAGGGACACTATAGAAATGTGGGATCCACAGCAAGCAAGATTATTATTAAGTACCATGTATGTTTCTATTTCTCCTGTTTAATAAATACTTTAATCATTGTTTCACACGCTCACATGCTTTGGCCTTGAGATGGAAAATTTCCAGACAAAAGTATTTTTTTTTAATTGCTTAGATTTTTCATTTAGATAGTGGTTTCCTAACGAGCTCAGTGGCATACTTGATACCTGACAGGAGTGGGTTTGTCGGGACATTGGCAACCTTTTATAATAATTGTAATAGGCACGCTGAGATGCTGGCTATACCGAAATAAAACTTCAAAGAATGTTTAGATTGAGTATATCGTCTTCATTTAATTATCAGAAAGAGTACGATGCGATAGCCCCGACTGTGACTTATCCAAGACAACAAAGTAGGCCAAACATTGCAAAAACTTTGCTATTCCAATGAATTATAGCATTCCACTCGAAAAATTTAGTTTTATATACAAGATTCTGACTAAGAAATACTAAATAATACGGAGAAACTGTACTACTATAATTTTTTTATTTGTTTTAGTCAAGGTATGCAATGCATACCTTGCTTACCTTGATGGTCCGCCACTGATCACAGATATTAGGTCCAATATTAGATCATTATTAAATCAATATCAATAAATAATTTTATCATCAAGTACAATTACATAACCACAATGTATTAAAGTTCAATGTTTTCTAATCAATTAATTTTCCAGTCAATTGTTTTTAATAGCCAATAAATATATGCCAGCGGCAAGGCGATATTTTGATAGCAAACATTGCTCAATTAGCATTTCTCAACATCATTTTTTTTTATTGAGATCACACTGTCATTAAATCATTATCACAGGGTTTGGATAGGGTTTGCGGTGTTTTTTTTTTTGGAGGTTTGCGGGGTTTTGCAATACCCGAATAGGAGCTCAATAAAATAACAGTTCTTCTTCAGAAAGCCACATGAAGAGGTAAGTAATGATAAACAGTACCATGAGTTTATAGCATCTCATTCAACCAGCAACACTGAATGCTGTCAACGCATTTTAAGTCCAATTAAGACTTATCAAGCTTTACAACAGAGCTTCAAACAGCAGACATCAACAAAAACAAATCCTAAACATATTTTTCAAGTAATCTTTCTTTGAAAAATATGTTTTTCAAAAAATGACATCTTAATTCACTTTTGGTTTATGTCCATCTAATCCTTTTGGAAATGTAAACAAACATCCCAGCCCCTATTTCCTGCAATAATTCACAATATTTATATAATAATTAATATAATAAAGTAAATAAACTTTGGTACACCATGTGTAAGATCTTACTCATACCAGCAATGTACCGGACGCTTAATTATTTTATTAATTTGATACTCCCCATGCAAACATTCAATAAATATTTAGATTATAGAGTAATAATAATAATAATAACAATAATAATAATAATAATAATAATAATACAGTAATAATAATAATAATTTATAAAGTGTAAATTAAACGACCGAGGTGCATTATCAAAGGCATTATCTTAAAGATTGAAAAGGTGTGTTTTTAGTAATTTTTAAAAGTATACAGCACAACACACATTTGGATTGTGAAGTTCAACGTTAAAACCATACTTTATTTCTACACTTATGTTATCATGATTTGATTGCGTAAACTGATTATTGATGGTAGAGTAGCTTGGGGGACAATAGCTAGCTAGGGTGTCAATAGCTAGTTAGGGATCAATTCTAATTATTAGAACAAACCTCTTTAAAAATATTACTAATCAAGTCATTAGATCCAGGAATAATCCAACAAAGTAAAATGAAACAAACATAAAAAAAAAAAAAAACACAAATATTAGAAAAAGATAATTTTTCTAATAGTAGCTAGTAGAAATATTTAAAATAAAAGATTATTTGAAATATAAAATTACTTTATTATTGTATGTTAATGTTGGTCTTTGGTTACTGTCAATGCCTTATGCACTTCACTAATTATTACTCTCAGTCGTTGGGTCAAACACCAATGTATCACATACCCAGCCTCCCAGGGGGAATATTCCATTTAATGTATTCAGCAAATTGGCATTCATCTACCAGGATGTCTCAAAAACAAATGATAGTGCATTGCCCAAGGACAAACAAGTTGCTTCAAACTTCTGACTTTACATCTAATATAAACAATTCCATTGATAAACAGCAAAATATTTTCCTATTTAGGAAAAAGTAGTCTCAAAACCACACACAAAAACTTGATTTTTTTTTTCTTTTAATTTCTCTTCCCCCCACCCCATATTAGTATACTTGCTCCTGTTTGAATGCATGATACAGTACTATGTTAATTAGAACATTTTAATGTTTGCTTCATTTTAAGCTTTTTCAATGCAGTCTCATACAGTGGTACATCTAGGAGTTTTGGAATGGAGACCCTGATTGGGAGAGGGGAGAGGGGAGGGAGAGGTGCAAAGATAGAATGGGAGACTTGATGATTAAGTAAGGAGAGTTACAGTAGGTTGCAAAATAAGGTGATGTGATGATTTTTAACTACTTGAGAATGATTAGTTTTGCTTTGGACATTTTCAATGGAGGG